TTAAACAATATAATTCTTCATCTTTGTGGTCATTAACAATTATTCAAGATTTAATTGGGTATAATTACTATTTTTTAGTATTTTCAAAATGCAAAACCTGCAAAATATATAAAGCATTGGATTATAAAAACAACCTTTCCCTTATATTAATGTTAAAGTACTCAAGGGACATATTTGTTAATGTATAGTGTGATGTCATGATCAGTCATCTTGCTTGGAAAGTCTTAACTTTTTGCTCTGCCAGTAGTAAAATTGCCTGTTAAGACAGAAAACAGGCTTATAAAATATATCCAAAATTTAATATTGTCACCCTGATTGGACAAGGGTGTGTGCTAATATGACATTACTTGCATCACACAGAACGTCTCAGTCACAGCTCTAAACATAAGAAGAATGACTGCAAGGTGATTTCCCTAAATTCATTTAACAAGCCTCTGGCAGTACTTACAGTAGATCCCAAGACTACTGAAACACATCCCATGCTGCCCTGAGTGATTAGGAATGTTCCTTTTCTGTAAAGAAATTAAACTTAAGGGGCATTTATGCATTAAAACCAAATTGCAATAACCTTGCATGAAAGTGATTTATCTTTGTCAGTGAATAAAAGGTCTTTTCTTCATCCACACAAGAAAATTCTTAAGTGGAAGCTAGGCAAAGTACTTTAAAGTTATGAGAACCATCCTAAAAGTCTACAGACTGCTTAGATATGCACCATATGTGAACCTCACCATAACATCCTCTGTTCCTGCATTTAAAAGGAATGAGTCTGTTAATGTAATTCCCTCTTGCCTTTACCTTAAAATCCCTCTTAGACTTAAGCAACCACAGACTCAGTGCTTGCACTTGAGCTTTTAAGCCAAGTTACAGGTCTCATTGATGTATTAGAACTTCAGCTTTGCCATTTGCATCCTTTTCCTTTCACTGATTTTTGACACAAAATGTCCTCTCTCTCCTCTGTCTCCAATTTGTAGTTAGGATTAAATAAGGATTTTTTTGCCATCACTGTCATGATCATTGCTCCAGATCACATATAGATTTGTAGTTTTGTACAAAGACAGTGCGGTCACCACATCCCTTTGCCTGGTCCTCAAAGTCTAAATAAAACAAAAGGAACAACAATTAAAACAAACCCTACTGAACTCCAAGTGCAGGCTGGAGACAGAGCATGTAAGGGCAATATTATGTAGGTATTTGCTATGATGTGTTTGTATGTATGATTCCCCAGTACTTTGGGAATATTTGCACTTCATTTTGAGAACTTTAAGGGTGTCTCTTGACCAAAGTTGCTGGGATGTGCTCTTCAGAACATGAGGCAGAATTTCCCACACTCAAGTTTACCTTCAAAGTAGCTCTTTGTAAGTGATAGGCACATAACAAGCCATTTGATCTCCTTCAAGGGTAAGAAAGACAGCTAAAACCAAGTGTTATTTTAATAATGCCTGTTAGACCTAACACAGATGAAAGCCTTACAGTACTAAGTGCTGAGCAGAGCTCTGATCTGTTACTGAAATGTGTGACAAGAAATTTTCATAACACCATTCTCTAGAAGAAGAAATAAAACATCAAGTCTAAAATCAGGGCCCAACCTCAAAATTCCTGCCTATAGGACCCAATGTTTAGGCACAAAAATTTCTCCTGATCACATTATTTTAATGCATAGAGTATTTTTTTCCGGATAAATATGTAACTGTAAAAAATGCAATTTAGATATCACAAATAGGATCTGTTTGGGATAGCTGTGCCCTCTCACAGTGAATTAAGTCACATGGAGCCCTCTGGACTTCCGAACTCAATCCATCCCAGAACACAAATGTAATCTGAATCCCTTCCACACAAGTACTGTTATTACCTACAATTCTCAGCTCACCAAGAATAAGCCCTTATAACCCCATGTAGTTCCCAAATTTTACCCGTGCAATAAAATGACCTGTCAAATAGCAAGAATTAATTACCTTAACTATTGATTTGGTTTGGGTGCTGATAAAAAGTGTTAATTTTTCATGAGTTTCAGCACAGATGATAAAACAGCACAGAGTTTTCAAAGTATTGATCATCTTAAAAACCCCATGTGCTTTAGTCTTGTGATTACAAAGAACAAACAAAACCTCTTGCAGGGGAAAGGAATCATCATTTTCTTCTAGATTTTCTGAAAACTCATAACAGCCCAAAAGTCCATCAAGTACAGTAAAGCAGACATCAACAGGAGAATTAACAGTACCCACAATTACAAAATATGTTTCCCTGAGGAACTTCAATGATTTTTGAAAATACTTCTGGAAATTTATGTAGCTGAAGTTTCTTTTTGCTAAATGTAGATATTTTATTCCAGCAACTTTGAACTGTAGAACTGTTAAGTGGTATCCTGCATGGAAAAAAATCCAGCATAACACAATTCTGTACTTTATACTGTATTCTGTGTTCCAGCTTGCAGTGAGGTATAAAAAATTTTCTCTGTAAATAATTTTCAGACACAAATACACTTTTACTTGTACAACTGAAGTTCTACAGTAAATATTATCTCTAGATCTCCATTTTCTACCTAGCTCCTATCCCATTTAGTAGTCTTAATAAAAAAAAACCCCACTGTTCTCTCTCAAATATACTTTCATTGTCTTTGATAATATTTTAACAAATAGATTAATATCATGACTTATTTTGTAATTTATTTGGCCAATTTGGATCTACTGCTGAAAGGTGAAATTAGTCAACTAAAGCAAAGAAGACTAATTAGAATTTGTAAAAAAGTTTTATTAAATGCTTTCAAGGTCTCAGCTTGCCAACAATTAACATTCCTTACTGTTCTAGAGAAACCACTTTGTGAATTCCTGTTCCCTACCAACAGCTCCTTCCTATGGAAGCAAAGGATACAACCTTTGAATGTCTATTCAAAGATGGAATTCCTATTCAAAATCATACTGGTGCAGCCCTCATTTGGATCTTGGTTTCAGAACTGAACACAAAATTCAGAAGAGGACCTGAAGGACATTAATTTTAATGTGAGTTCATCCTTTCCAGAGGGACAATAATGTTTTAAAACTCTTCATTGTCACTGAGAGCTATTGTAGATAACAAAAAAAAAAATAGGACCTTTAACATCCAATAATAAAGAATTATAAAATTATTTAATCATTCACTTAAAAAATAAAGGCAAAACAATTGAAATCACAATGAGAATCTGGAGTAGGAGCTGGGAATAGAACTTCAATTGTTTTCACTGACTGTGACTTCACAGATAGTCCTTCCTTCCTCCTAAAATATTAACATATTAATTATGTAAGAGATACAATTTTGGAGTATTTGTGCAGATGTCTGCACATAAATCCTATTTCATGAGACCAGTGTTCATAACTGTATTTCCTCAAAATGAAAAGACATTTTGAAAATAATTTAGTCCTGAAGTAACATCTCTGAAGATTTGTTACTGAGAAGTTGCCCCAGAAATTTGGTTCATTCATACAGCAGTGAGGGACAAAACAACAGAACAAAAGAAACCAAGAAATTCTGTGATTACTGAAAAGGAAAACAAAACAAAACAAAACAATAAGAGCACATCTACACAGTTTGAAAAAAAGAAAAACTAATCTGAAAAGCTAACAAAAAGGCAGAGTTTTATTAATGAATGTACTGAAAGCAGCAAATGGTACCTACATTGCTTAACAAACTCTTGCTGTTCTTGTTGAGAAAGATTCTTTCAGCTCAGAACCATGGTGTGGAAAAGCTTTGTACTGTGTTTACAGCTTCCCAACTTGGTTACTCATTTTGTTGTCTGTCACACTAATCCACAAAACTGTACCAAGGACTCTTCACTTCCCCCTCCCGAGAGACATTTCAGTGCCAGCGAGCTCTTTGGCTCTAGCAGTGTTTCCATTCCACAGAAGTTGCCAGTGCTGCTAATTGAACTGTCACTGCTCCTGCTGTTCAGATTATTTCATCCTGACCCTAAAAGCAGTTGGACAGGTTCTCCTTGTGCACTTTAACTATGCAGAATTGTTCTGCAAGTCAACAGAAAGAAGCTAATGAAGAATTGAAAGAAGTTTACTAATAATGGATAAAAGTTGTTGAAATAAAACACCAAAAAGAACTCAATGTTTTTACTGAAGAGTGCAGACTCTATTCCCTTTAGTGTGTTTGTGTTTGGCCTGCTTTATACAGACAAAGAATGGAAGGAAACCTGCAGTTTTTCCCAGAGTGTTTGAAATAGTTTGTTCCTAAGTGAATAATGAGTGCCACAGCTTCCCCCTAAAGAACAACACAACTTGTTCTGCCAACCCAGCCTCGCTCCCTTTTTCTGTGCTGTCAAACACTGCATTCACACATCCCATGAAGACTATGAGACCTCCCTTTTATAACTGTTCTCTTCTCAGCTCCAGCTTCAAGCCAAGCAGTTCTCTGGCAGAATGGCATTTTAAAGATATTGCTTCTCCACCACCTTCCTGAACTGTGATTTCACACAATTATCCAACCAGGACGTGGGGAATCTGAACTAAGATTGCATCCTCAATGAAAAGGGGAAAGACACTGACAGTAGCATGGGATATAAAATCACACCAAGGTTCAAGGCTGGACTTCATAACACATTTTTAGCAGCTGTTGGATTGGGTATCAAGCCTTTCTCATTGTAGCTAGAACAGACATCCCAAAATATAGGTAACACATAATATATTTAGTTCCACTAATGGAATTGTCCTGACTACCATCATGTGGAATCACCTTAAAATATCAGAGGAAAGAGCTTTTCTGGCAGCATGCTTACTGTAATTTGTTGATTTTTATTGGAATAAGAGATCTAGGAAGATTGCTCCTGGCTGAAATATTTTCCTGGAATATCAGACATGACATGATTGTATATTTAATTATCTCTTATTTCCCCTAAGTATTTATAGAATTGTACAAGGCAAGCTGGTGCATATCTATTAATAGCCATATCTGTCTATATATTTTTATTTTTATCTATTCACATACACCTTTTTTATCATAAAGTAACTCAATAAATCACTTACCTAAGGATATCCTATGAGAATACCTAAGAGACTGAGTTGTGAATCAAGGACAAATGCTGAACTCAACTGAACTGAATAATAACTGAAAGAAATGCTGAGCAGAGTGCTGAAACAGCAGCTGAAACAGAATACTCATGAGGCTGGGGTGGTGCATGGGAAAGAGGCCACTTTCTGGGGAGCTGTCACCATGCAGAGTTACTGAAAGAGAATCTCTGCCTTCTGCTCTTAGTGTGGAAAAGTTTAGGCAGAGCCTCTCATGGAAAACATGATATATTTATAAACTTAGGTCCTGCTTAGAGGAGTGAATCATTTGCTACTTGCTGAGTAAAAGGTCCTCTTATAATAGCAAGGCTAATCTGACAGTGTTTATTTTCCCCAGGGAATAAAGGTAAGACAAAATCTTATCAAACTTGGCCTTTCTTAGACCAATAATAGCAAAGGGCATGATTGCAAAAACATTGTCTTCTGGGTTTCTTGCCAGCATTTATTTAATGTTTTGCCCTACCTATCTACAAAGTTTCTTTGCCTTCCCTTCAAAAAGCATAACTAGCAAAGAATAGGTAATTTAAAGTATTTAAAATGTGAGTTTTCTGGACCTAGTTAGCTTAGGATTGGTTGGCACTTTACCAGAAGTGACAACCATGCCTGACTTTCTGACAGGTGAAATAATAAAAATAAAATGGTGCTCACTGAAGCAAAACCTTCCAACAGTGCATGTTTGTGGGAAGGTGACCAGAACTTGTGTGATCATCCTGTATGACCTCTTGAATATAGTAGAACATTAAAGAACTAAATGTAATCCAGAATATGACATTCACCTGATTCCTCAATGTTTTCCACTGTTGTTTCACTAGCAAGTGGTAGTGTAAAATAATGATTTGGTCTTATTAATTAAAACTGCAGGAAAAAGTGCAGAACTGATGACAAGTAGTAAAGATATCTAACTGCTGAGCTGAAGCATGAAACAATGTGTGTAAAATGACCACCTTAAATAAAACAGGAGAGAAAAAACATTCCCAAGTAACTGGCCAGCAATAAAATCAACATATTAATACAACACCACCAGTTCTTTCAGCCACCCCATCATTAAAAAACATTAAAAGTATCATCTGAAAGTCTATAGTACAATGATAATCTTTATTCTGACCAAAAAACAAAAGTCTTTGAGAACGCTTCATTTCTTCAGATTTACTAATTTACTAGGGACAATTTTCACTTGTGGTTCCTGCAAGCACCTTCTCTCCCTGGAGGCAGAGATTCTTTATGCTTGGATATTCAGTGCAAGTGTTAGCTTGATACCAGCTTGATACCAGTGTAAAGTCATTCAAAGCTTAAAAGGAAAATTTCCAGAGTAACATTTGGAAATCATTTATTGTCTTTGAGAGCATTATTTAGGACAGCATGAAAACAGGTATTTAAGAAATATAGGCAGCAGGATGACATGATACAGTGCTGGTCTTTGGCTAAGAAAACTAGAAGAAGGCAGAACATAAAAAATGCCCTTTGTAATGTGAGCATTTTGGACCTATGTGATAAATGGGATTGGGGAGCTCCTCATGTTTCTTAAAGGCATCACACTCCACAAGAACAGCATGTCTGTCAAACAAAGCTGCCATGAATCAGACCCAAACAGAAAGAAAGACATAAATCTGCAGTTGCAGTTTTTCAATCTTTTATGCAATTTCTTTTTTGCCTGTGATAAATTAAGATGTATACAAGAAAATATATATAATAAAACCAAACATATTTTACTGTTAGAAGAGATTTAAAAATCCATTTTAATCTATTTAATCTGCTAAATAAATTAACAAGATTTATCCACTGTTTAAGATCTGACCCTAGAGCTTCCAAGAGAACTTTGTACCAATTTGAGACAAAACCAGTTTAGCCTACTTTTCATACTCCTTAAAGTGTTGCCTTTAAAAAGTTTGCCTGAAAAATTGTGCCCAGCTGTTGCAGAATCCCTGTTGTCACATAAATTAAGTGCAACTACTTCAAAACTTCTTTCGCAATTCTTCACTGTCTGGACATAGTCTGTATTTCTTTGGAGTTAAAGATATATCTCCTTTGCTTTTCTGAGTATTGTGACAAAAGCAAAGAACCAAATCTTTTATGCTTTCTGTTTCCAAAACCTTAAGCTTACAGCTCTCCATATTTGTTCCACTTACTGTGGCATAACTGCTTCTGCTAAGGAGTGATCAAGGTATTTCTCAATGTGTTTCTCTCAATGTGTTCTTTGTCCAGAGGTAACAGCAGGTTGATAACAATACTGAAAAAGGAGATAAGAATTCCTTTCAAAAATATTTGTCTGATTGGTGTACAAAATTAAAAGAAAGAAAAGAATGACAGCTGTGAAGAGCAGTTCATGCTTAAAAGCATAAAATTTCATTATTTCTGTAATATTTATAATTTCTTTCATGTTATGTTATAAGCTCAAATCCTACAAGTTATTCAAATATCCACAATCCTATTAAATACCTTCTCAGAAAGGAAAAGCATACTAAACTGGCACACAAACATGTATTTTTCAGCTTATTTTATTTACTTTCCTAATGCAATATCCATTAGTTTCACCATACTTTTGTAAACTATCAGAAAAAGAAACAAGCAAATTATCAAACACAATACTTTTAAAGAAAAAAACCCTTGAGAGACGGATAAATATTCTGCCACAGCATGAGAATTTTCTGCCTGTTAAACTCCACTCACCACAAGCAAGAGTTTTGCACTTCAAGGTCACCTCCCTCCTCTCTTCAGGAGTCTCAAGTTTCTCCCAGTTAGTAGCTTGGCAACCCTGTTCATCTTCCTGTCCTTACTTACTGGCAATAAAAGCAGTGTTGGACAGTTTAAAAAAAAACCCAAGAACCAAACCAAATCAAAGCACACAGCCCTCCAAAACACACTAAAAATATTATTTAAAAGATAACTGTTGTTCATTTCCGTAAGTCCTGGATGTTTTTAAATGCCAGCTTCAAAGAGGATGAAACGCCTTTCTTTTATTCTTCAATTTTTAATGAAAACATTCTAAATTACTGGAAGCATGGGGAAAATCCCAAGTGTGATGTGTGGAGCAAGCCTCACCAGCTGGCTTTTTTGGCCACTACGTTGTCCTTAATGTTTAAACAGATCTCAAAATTAATCATGTTGCTAGATTTGTACGCAAGCTGTATCAGGGAGGCTTTCTGGGTTTTTGGGAGGTATTCACCCCATTGCATTAGAATCTGGAGAGGGACAAATTGACAGGTAATATTAGGAAAAGAAAGCCTGAGAGAGAGTGCTCAGCCGACACAGCCAATTAATGTGAGACAAATTGGCAATAGACCAGGAGACGGTACTTACTTTCGGAAGTTTAATTTAAATTAATGAACAGTGTCCTATAGGAAGGGTCAAGAAAATAAACTTGCTGTACTGTTTCTTCACTTGAGGCTCCTACAAAGTTAGTTGACCTACAGATCTCCATTGCTGAGAGAATTGCACCTTCCTTTATTTTCACTTTTTGTCTGTTTCTCTGTATTTTTCTGTGTCTGGCCTATTGGCTTAGTTGTTGATACATTTTATGGTTACTTTTCCTTCTTTTTTTTTTTCTTTTTTTTTTTTCTGTTTGCTTCTTAAAAACTACCCTACTTAATCTTTATCCTTTCCGCTCTGAACCTTACGATCCTTGCTCCAAATTTTCTGCTTCCTGGCTGGGGATCACACATGTTTCTTTTCTGCCATGCAAACAGCCATGGGAACGTACAGCTTGGACTGGTTATGACCTATCTGAATGCCCAACACATAAACTACTCCAGCAAGTGCCTGCACGGAGTGGTGCTGTGGAATCGGGATTATGGGAGGTGACTTTCAGGGAGCCGAGGAGAGCTTTGCCAGCAGCTGCTGGAGCACATTACAGGGCGGTAGCTGGAATGTGTCCAGGGTCATGCAGATTTATCCCCTCCCATGGCATTTCTCCACTGCTCTGCACATTACTCTCATCTTTCAACCCTCCCTGGGAATGCTGAACCAGCCTGGGGAGGAAAGATATTAAACATATATTTAGTGCTGCTGGAAGTGAAAATTACAATTGGGTAGTTCATTTCTGTGCAAGTGCATTTTGTTCAAGGTTTGCTAAATTTTTGCAGGGAAAAACCCCCACAACACAAACAGTTAAAACCTTCCTGTATCTTTATGCAAAGCAATAAATGGATTTTATATTAATTCTATACTTTTACACTATGGATATACACATACACATGCTCATATACACATATATGTATGGATCACTTAGTCACTGAAACATAGGCACTTGTGCAATAGAGCACAGCAGCTCTTTAACAGAACTGAAACACTTTGAAATAATATATTAGAATTGAAAACTAAGGCAGAAGGGAAACTGCTAAGAGAGTTACAGGCAGAACACCTCCATTTTGTTATCTAACCTGAAATCAGCGAAGAGTGTGAAGAGCAGTATCTCTGATGGCCTTTTAAAAGAGAAAAACCAAAGAAAATATGAAACCAAACTGATTTTCAAAAACAAATTAAAAAAAAAAAACACCAAAAACCTGCAGTTCTTTCTCTTTATTCTATTTCTTTAGTTTCAATTTCTAATTAAAAATAAAGTGAGCCAGAACTTGAGCAAAATAACAGGAGTGAAAAAGGGTAATCTATGAGATTGGAAGGCAGAGGGAGAAGGCAGGAAGGTTTTCACACATATATATGAATAGGGAAAATAAAAGTGATTAACATTCTAAACCCATAGCCTATTTCACAATCAGCTATCTAGAGTGACTGCAAGGTGAAATGCAAATTAACACTACTTGTATCTCCTACCTCATCATTACTGATGTGTTGGAAAGACAGGACAATAACTATGCCTGTCCTAAGGTAGGAATCCTGTGCTGTCACACGCAGATGCTCCCTGAATCTTTGGTCTTAATCAGCAACACACACTGATGCAAGTATCAACATCTGCAATGCATTAAATGCACTTCTGTTCCTCAAGTAGGCTTCTGTATATTCAGCAGTTTCTTGTATATCCCCCTTTTCCCTGTATCAATTTCCATGCTCACTTTTAAAGCCTTTCCTGCAAGATTTTATCCCATCTTTCATTCATATTTTAGATTAAATAGGCAATAAATCCAACAGATTTCCTTAAGTGTCATTAAATAAATGACTTTTCAGATGTGCTTTAGTTAAAGGAGAGGGGTAGAACAATTCAAAACATGCAGTCACTCTGCAAAGGCCGTATAGAAATTGGGATGGTGCCAGTGCCAAGGTACCAGAGAGCTAGAGTATGATAGTTTGAAAAATAGTAGGGTGGAAATAATGTAAGACAGCTGTGGTGATGTTGAAAAAGTTCATTTGATAGCATTCAGGAAAGGAAAAAATGCAGGGTGATATAATTAGCAA